ACGGAGGCCATTGCCTCTATGGACGGGAACCCTTCTGCACCCGTCCGTGTCGGCACCCCCTATTGCGGTGACGACACGAGGCGCCTAACCGCTCCCTTTGGAGATGGCGCGTCGCTTCGGAATGGGCCTCTTGCCCTACCCGAACGTTATGTCTGCTTCGTGGCGTGCCGCGTAGCACCAAGAGGCCACCGCCTCTATCGACGGGCGCCCTTCGGCGCTCGCCTGTGTCGTCACCCCTTTTTGTGGTGAATACACTCCTACGTGGTAGCTGACGCGCTATCTCGTGCCCCCTGTTGTCTGCCGAGAACCTGGATTTCGGCGCGACGGCCGCTCGCGGTGCCTTAGCACATGCAAGCGTCGGGGGCGAAACAGCAGCTTCGCCGCCATTCGGCGAGAAGGGTGAGTCCCCATGCGGACAAACCTTGGCTGCTAACCAGGTAAGCGGCGCACCGCGAAGCGGCCGAGTGGGGGAGCTTTCCGAAGGCCACGAGGCCGAGAGCAAACCCGTAACGCCGACTCACGCGGCGGTTGCTGCGGTCCTGAGTGGGCGCGATACCGGACTCCCCCATTTGGGAGAATGGGAATTGCTTTCGGCAGCGAAGAGCTACTGAAGGCTCAGCAGAGTGATCCGTTTCGAGTCTCGGAGGGACGGAGCGCCGTATACGCTGCTTGCTTTGCGGCGGGCGCCGTTAAACCGTCTTGACGAGGCGCGGAGCGCCGTTACGCTGCTTGCTTTGCGGCGGGCGCGATTAGGGGGCTGAAACAGCGTGTGTCGCTGAGTCCCCGGCGGATTCATTTTGCTGGACCATGACGGGCTCCTGCTGAAGTATAGCCACTGACGACGAGTCCATAGACCCGTTTAAGGTGGTTATGCCCAAAAGTCTGAGAGCCGCATTGTTGCGATCCTCTCACGACGAACCCATGGCCGGTCACCTGAGTGGCTCGAAAGTTTTTGCAAACTGAGCAATGTTGTGACCTGGCCCGGCACGAAGCGTGGCTTTTATCGCTATTCCGTGCCTGCCACGTCTGACAAACGGTTGAGCCAAGGGTTGGAAAGCCGCCCGGTCTTATGAACCGATTGTCAGTGAGCGTCCGTGGCGCGTACTAGCTGAAAGATCCCCTTTGGGAAAACTCAGCCGTGCCCACATCGCAGACCTGAAGCCCTTTGTCATGGTCTGACGAGCTTGCGCCAGTGCCCTGCGGCACTTCGCGCAAGCAACGGGCACACCCGGAGCGGCGGACCGCATTCGGACCCCGCACCGGTATAATCTGAGGAAGCGGTCACCTTTGTGATTTCGCGCCGGACGGCGGACTTCTCCGCAACCGAAGGCCCTCAGTTTACTGTCTAGCCTCAGTATACGTTAGCTTCTTTACGGCCTTTTCTCGTAAAGAAGTTGACCCCGCTCTGTCTGCTGCCAGTGTTTTTTTTTTTTTTTTTGAAGTGTTCATGTGTATTTTATGTTTTTGTCTAATATTAAGTGTTATTTGTGTTTTATGTTTTTCGCCAGATGTTGAGTGTCGTTTTGCTCTGTTTTTACTTTTTTCGTGTTCGTTTCGTCTACCGCGAAGGGAGCTGTGTGTGACCTTGTGTGTCGGTGCTCGCCGGGAGAGAGAGAGACGAAGGACGCTTTGCGCCTACGCTCGCGCAGCTGTCGGCGGTGTGTGTGCGTGTGAGTGCGTGACGCTTCAGTGCGAGCCCGCGAAGAGTGCGTCGGCTTCCCCCCCATCGATGCGGGCACTGGAGGTGCTGGGGGGGCATTGACCCATTGACATCAGACCGTCTGGCTGTGCTCTGCTCTCGGCCGCCGTCGAAGAAGCCCCGCTGCCGTTTTCACCATGGCTCCTGCGCGAGGCCAACTGAAAGCAGCTATATGCTGCTGGCCAACGCCAGGGCGCTTCGCAGCCAATTCGGGTTCGGCCTCCCTGATCACTGGAGAGGCCTGGCTTCCCGCAACGTCCAGCTCCGTCATCGAGCCAGAAATGCGGGGCGGCCCCGAACAACCGAAGCGGCTTTCGTCGGACTCGCGGCTTATCAAGAGCAGGAACAAGCCATCAGTCAGCCCCCTTCCCGTACCTCTGACCTCGCACTCGGGCATCGCACCCAGCGGACACTGTCACGCCTTTCCGCCCCTCCGCGCAGTGGACGCTATCCCCCTTCAGCACCACGAACACTAGTGCCACGTTTCTGTGCTCCCTTCCGCAGTTATTTGTATAGTGTCATGTGTTTATTTTGTTATTTATGTTTTTGTTTCTCCTTTGTAATCATATTTTTTTTAAGCAGCAGTAGCAGGGCTGGACTGAGGTTAGCTGTAGCTCATAGCAGTGTCATTTTAACTGCATGGGTGACGTCCGGCTGCCTTTTGCAGACCGGTAAAGGGCAAATTTAGGAGGGGGGGATGTGGGAATTGAGGCTGGCCCGCTGCCTTTGCGCGGGCTTTCCCGCCTTTTCTGCCATTCTCATGTCCCGACATGTCTGCCCTCCTTTGCCGTCAGCCGCGCTGGGAAGGGCGGAGTGACGTTTAACTCCCTCACCCGGTAGCGGATGTTGACTGTGGCGCCGCGCGCGGGGACTCGCAAGAGGTTTTCGCGCGCTGCGTCGGGAGCGGCGAGTACAGTCCGGGACTTCAAACGGGGCGCCACGCATTCTTTTCCGTCCGTCGAGTCCCGTCGCTCGGGGCTCGTCGGACTTCGCTGACGGCGCCTCGCGCCCGATGCGAACGCTCACCTTTTGTTGCCCCGCTGCGTACTCACGGCCGAAGGGCAGTACGGTGTCCTAGTGTGTGGCCTAGCTACGCCGACCCGTCTCCCTTCGAAGCCAACGCGAGCGCCTTTGCCCTCGCTCGAGCAACCGGGCCCCTTTGTCCCGGTGTCTCCGTGGATCACCTTTACCGCGGAGACGTGGTCGTGGCACCCTGTGTAGTACTTTGTGCCCGTGGCGTGGATAAGCCTACTTGCTTTCCCGCCGCGCCTTTTTGCAACGGGTTGTACTGCGTTGGTGTTGCCACAATAAAGTGTTGCGGCTTGAGCAGTATCGTGTTTCCCGCCACGGCGACGGTTAACGCGTGCCCTGCGGCTCGCTAAGACCGGACCCACGCTGGTGGCCGTACTCCTTCGGGATACGTGTACACCACAATTATCATATGCGCCTTTCACGTCCAAGAGCAATGCCGCAGATAAACGTTTCAGTCTTTTTTAATGCTGCACAGACGTGACCAGGTCAATAACATTTGCCATGATTCTGCACATGCTTGCTTGGCTGTGAGAACAATCAAGGATTACATTGAAGATTATGCTCCAATTTACTTGAAACTAACTTTTGCGAGCGATAGAGCAGCTGCCCATTTAAGAACTGATTTGGTTAATAGTTACTAGTGCCACAGTGGCATTCCTTGTAATCCCATGCAACGGTAATGTTGAAGGCCTCTGTTCACTATTGGAACCAACTTTTGTCGCTAAACCATTTGTTGTTTTACAGAAGGAAATTGGGGTTAGTATGCCATTGAACATGACAATGCGAAGGCTTTCATGATTAATAAGGTATAGGAAGATTTTTCTGTAGAATTTTATTCGAAGATTCATCTCCGCAAATTACGACAAACGAGCAAGCATCAGTCAAATCAAATCATCCCTCGGTCTCCCTGTTTTGTCAGCTCGACGCAAAATTTCACGCCTCTGTCTTTTTCACAAACTTTACTACAGCTTTCCTCACCTACATGGCTCACTTTTACTTCCGCCTGTCCGAACATCCCGTCGCCTATTTAATTCCCTGAGTATCCAACGTCTGTTTGGCTCTACTAATGCTTTTAATAAATCATTTCTTCCTACAGCTATTGATGAGTGGAACGGTTTGACGGATGCTATTGTCAGCGAACAAGTTGCTGTTAAATTTAGAGATTTATTACTAGCTACCCTTGACTCTTAATCGCTGTTTGTCTTTCTTTGTTGTTTGTTCTCTGCCGCCTGTATATTTTGGACTGCGAATTGACTGTTGAATATTTCGTTTGACATGCTCTGTTTTCTTTTTTGTTTTTTGTTGCTACCTGTATGTTTTAGTAATTCAAAAACTGTAACCATGAACTGCATTTTCATTGAAATTTGTACTTGGATTGTTTCCCCCCCTTATGTAATGCCCCGAGAGAGGCCCTTAAGGGTATAATAAATGATGATGATGATGATGATGATGAAGGATCATGTCCAAGTAGTCCTACAGCAACTAAATATTAGTTTTCTATGAAGACACAAATGCCAACCCGAGTTTTTGCACCCTCTTTTTTCTTTTTTGAAAGAAATATACTTCCGTGGTGCACAGGGATCGTTTCAGAAAGAATATAGAGCAGAGAGATAGGACAGAGTGCACACTTACAACCAATTTTATTGCACAGATGGCGGGAATATATATATGTGCAATATATACATATAATATAATCTGTGCAATGGTGGGAATATATATTCCTGTGCAATGGCGGGAATGTATATTCCCGCCATCTGTGCAATAAAATTGGTTGTAAGTGTGCGCTCTGTCTCATCTCTATGCTCTATCTTCCTTCTGAAACGGTCCCTGCTCACTGAGAAAGTATATTTCTTTAAAAAATGCAATACCAACCAGCCTGAGTAGCCACTCTTTTGCTCTTTCTTCTACCCCCACAATCCAATAATTAGGTCTAGGAGCACTGGCAAAACGCTACAGTTTTCCCATATTTTCACTTAAATACTAATTTAATCTCATTTGCACTAGATATGTCATATGATGTGAGCCAAAATGGTTGACGTGTAGAAAACTATCTGCTCTACACCACCAGTTTTCATTTGTAAGGGCTCTCGTGTGCCCGCCTCCTGCATGTCGGGATACAGACAGAGGAGCCCTGAAAACACAAGCGCGGCTTTCCTGTGACTCACAAAAATACATTCCGGATCACTCGTCCTTATTACATCGAAAAAAGCAAGATAAGAACTAAATATGTTGATAAAGTTTCTTTTAGCATCTTGTTGTCCGTTTCTAGAGAATGACGAGAAGGAGGAGGAAGGGGATGAGCCAAACAAGCTGATGCGTGCCTACAGACAGGAGCAGCGTGCCTACACCAAGAAGAAGCAGCAGATGCTGCCCAAAGGGTCGCAGAGGGAGCAGAAGGTACTCTTTCCACTCATCGTGCAGCATCTTGGTAGAGCCAGCACCCACAGAGCGCTCGATGCAGCATGGGAACGATGGATAGTACACGGATTTGCCTAGTTTTTGCTCTTCTCGCTCCGTTTGGCTTCCTGGGGCCTGAATTCACTTTGTTGCGAGACGAAGTTCAGCAAAGATTCAGCAGCAGTTGCACTTGATCACCTTGGCCTTTTTAGGCTAATATAAATCGACTCACAAAGTTTCAGGATTTGTTGTTTTTTGTGAAACAAAACCAAAACACAGCAATAAACAAAGGCACAAGTGAGTTCGAAGCCCACAAGCATGAAGACTGGATACTACCCATCATTCCCATGGTCGCAGTACTAGAGTTCCCTCTAGAAAATTTCAGAAAACTCTATGGAGCCAACAACACACACAAACCGGAAACACTTTATTTATCAACAGTGAGTGCGGGTCATATGTTTATATGTCCTGTTTTTTCTTCTTGCATTTTTCATTTTTCACAATGTGGGAAGGTGCAGTGCTTTTGAGAAGGATTAGGATCCCCAGAAGTGAAGGCATTTTTCATTGCACATTTTTATTAGCTGATCCCTGTGTAGTTGCTCGCAGCAACATCACTGTAGCTGCCAAGTCTTGCCACAGTGGGTCTCTTGCATGCTTCCTAGGTGAAGGCAGAAAAGCTCTCAAAATCGATGTACACAGTGGAAACTTAGTCAGGCTAAAAAAAGCAGCACTCATCTTTTCATGGGGGGGGGGGGGGGGGCATCACTTGCTTTGTCGGTGAAGACTTTCATTCATTATAGTGAATCATCATTTATCTACTCAAATGCATCGAAGAAAGCTGCGCAAGTTGTCCGGTCTTCTAACACAGCCTTTGTGTTTGTCCTCGTTCCAAACACTCCGTGGGAGTGAGGGAGAGTTGCTTTACTGTGTGCAATAGCTGTCACAAATACTGGCAACAGTAGTGGCGGACAACTACGCCTCCAAAATGCTGTTGTTGTGCTCTCATAACAGTTTTCGCTGTGAAGAAAATTATTTATGGGAAAGACCACCATTTTCTCTTCTTTTACAAAGTGTGCATACAATCTTAATCACGGTGTGTGGCCACAAGGACTTTCTTATGCTCGATCACGTGAGCTGTGGTTCACGTTACCTCAAAAATCTACCCTGTCGAGAGATGTGCCCTTCAAATGCCTTAGCCTCCCGGCCACAGATCATGTGACCGCCACGTTGAATGGGCCACACTGAGGTAACTAGCCCTGCACTATTTGAGCGGGCTGCTGCATGTCGGTGTTCACTCTCAACTTTACTTCAAGCCTCCTCCGTATTCCCCTGAACGTCTGTGTTGTTGTAGGTGTAGTCCTTGAATGCATATTAACCCACGTTACTAGAAAAATTGACCAAGAGAGGCTATTTCATTTTAATTTCATCTTGTGCAGTATGAATAAGAGAAGTTGAAATGGTCGGTCAGCACTTGAACTTTTAAAAGTGTGATCAGGTAATGATCAAAGACCTGAAATCCTGCTTTTGGCATACCTGCCACGTTCAAGGATTCTGAATCCGGGAGATTGCCGCAACAGAAGATGGGGGGGGGTCATGCCAATTTATTTGTCCTCATTTTTTTAAACCAAAAGGAAACAAAAAAACCATCGCAAAAAACGGGGGGGGGGGGGGGGGGTGTCACAGCATCCCCGGAAGCTGAAAGGTTGTCGTTGCGGCTCGTAGTGGCCAAACACGTGAGGGTAGGGTTTCCCAACTAAGGCGGGAGCATCAAAATTGGAGTGTAGACAGGGGGTGGCTACGGCTTTGGGCAAGGGGATTTAATGTTCTGCTGCTCTGCACCTTCCTCGCTTGCTTTGATCAATAAGGTACAGGGATTACTTAGTTTGAAAAGCTGCTGTGTATTTTCAGCAGCCTGCTGGACTAGTTAAAATACTCAACTTCGATGCATACATGACGTGATATAGGAAAAAGGGATAGGAAGAACCGTGCTTACTTACTTCGTCTGGCTACTTTTTTTTTATCTGTTGGACTCAAGCAAAGTAAATACAAGAAAGTTTTGCTTTGATTGGAGATCTTTATTTTTGACATTTTAAGAATGTGCAGGCACTCAGAACTTCTATGCAGAAAACATTACGCATATATGTGTTTTGAGTAAATAGGCTCCGACGTTTTTTTTACACCCCCTATACAAGATTTTCAATTCGTACTCTAGACTGCGGTGATCACATTTGCCGAATATTTCAGCACTGCGTGCCGTGCAGATCCTTAAAAAAAAAAAAAATCTTACGCTTATTGTTTTGGCTGACCGATCCCCTTTGTACACCCACGCAGTGGGACGAAAGCTTGCGCAACGTTGTGCACTACTGAGCTCGTCGATCGGTTCTGTGCACTACAAAACATCGCCTTGGCCTTGTGGCAATGCAGCTTCAACCGCGCAGTCCCCATCATCATTTTTCTGTGCTGCCCTCTGCTGTTTTGTAGATCCTGAGACTCTGGGAGAAGCAGTACTGCCAGAACAAAAGCCTCTAAGATGAGGAGGCGTCTCACTACCATACTGTGTGGGGTTTCCGGCCCGCGCAGGGCTTGGTCATTGGTTGCGCACCGGTGATGTATCACGGACGTTGTGTCGCGTTGTCGAAATGGGCAGTCACGACGACGGGATACTTCTTCGCGCAGGAGGGTGGAGAGCGGCCACAAGACAATTTAAAACCTGCTGAAACGGATGCTCTAACCCCTGCAACTTCCTTATTATAGCGCATGTTCATGAAATTCTTGTGGCAGCATGTTCACCTACCAAAAGTGTGCATATTTCTCTTCAATAAAATTTTTGGACCTCGGTGTACTGTACTTGCATAATGTTTTTTGTGACCTCCTTTAGATCAGGAATGACAGATGTGGAAATTTTATTTCCTGTTTTTCTCAAAACTTGATTTTAAGTTGTTCACCGCGCAAAAGTTTGCATCTTTTAAATTAATCAACATTTTCCAGCAAAATTTTTCATCTTCTTGATTAGACATTAGCCTGTTCCTAAAACTAACCTCAGCCAGTGTGCCGCACTTACGCAATTTAGTTTTGCTGCAAGTGCTAGGGCAGTGGAGGAGGTAGGAGGGGAGGAGGAGTTTGAACAATTTGCCAGCACACTTTGCCATTTGAAAGGAAACTGTCCCATATCTCGTATGTAGGCAATTTCTGAAGAAGGCTTGGTGCCAGGATTCTAGAATTATGTTGTTACCAGCCTCCCAAAACTACTCAAATCTGGATGCCGGTTCTGAAACACAATTTCGTTGTACAATCTGGTTTCCAAACAAGGTGAACACGTGGGATGCCTCATGAAGACAATGCCTTGAACCAGTCATGCCTGTGTAGCTCACAAATATTCTTCAGAGAATAAAAAAAAATGTGGGGCGAAGGCAGCTATGATCAGGCGGCAACCTAGAGGCTCGCGGGCCGCATGTTTGAGACCCCTACAAAAGGATAATTGAAAATTATGAATAAGCTTTTGTGTTCAAATTGAAATGCAGCTTCACCAAATTAGATATTTTCAGTTTTTGAGCTATTATTGTCTGCATGCACAACTGTAGTGCTGCCAAGCTATTTTCTTTTCATGCTGTAGAATTGATAATTACGACTGCCGGTGCGAATGTATATTTTGGGTAATTTTGATTATTGTTAATAATTTCAGTTTTTCTTTTGCTCAGTTCACTTGAAGTGTTTTTTTTAACTGTTCTTGCTAAGGCAGACACAAGGCAAACAGTTTTAGGTCCAAATCCAATGCCAAGATACCTTAACAACTTTTATATGACCTAAGTACTGTTGTGTGGGGAGATAATTGCAAAATAGAAATATAGAATCATTTGGATATCTCCAGTGTCATGCTCTAAAGTGCATTCTCACACGTTCTGCCATCTTTTACTTATTTTTCTTTGCTCATAGCACAGTGAATGTGCATGGCTTTATATGCATCATGCACACTCTGTCAATAATTAGCTAGCAGTCCCAGCTTCTACTATAATTGTGCACGTTTTTATTTAATGATAATGCACAGATTAGAGCCAATCGGTGTTCAACACTGCACTGAAAGTGCTTACCTCAGCACCTAATCTACTTGTTGCTTTTGCCAATACCGAGGGCTGAAGGTCAAGTGGCCGTTCCTCTATTGACAGTATGCAGTGTTGCTCCACTAGTATCCATCTGCCTGAGCTGCGAAAAAGAATTAAAATGACAGCAGTATCAATGAACAATAGTCATGGAGTGAGGCATTGTGGATGCTCCTGTTTTTGCAGACACTGGAAGCCCTTGCCCGTTTCCAAGCTAAAATGACTGAGCGCTTGTCAATGGAAGATGAGGATGACCAAGGGGAAGACAGTCCAGACGATGACAAGTCAGATCGGTGGTGAGTCTCTCATCTGCTCACTGCAGGTTCAAAGTAGAGCATGTGTTGCTTGGCACCCATTGTGTATCAAAAGAAGCAGTGCAAAAAGTTGTGTGCGGTTAAGTCTACCTTTTCTCCTCGTTGTGGTTTTCCCATGTTTTAAGGCAAAAAAGTGTCATGCTAGAGTCCGCCATGGCTGTACTGACAAATTTTCATCGCGGATATGACGTAGTAAAATATATAGTAAGAGATTGCAAAGAGAAAAAAATTAGAAGAAAAAGTTCCGTAGCGGGGCATTGAACCAGCAACTTCTCACTTGGCAGCACGTGACACAGGCCACTAAGCCACGAAGTGTACGCTGTCAAGTTGGCTAACATAAAGTCACTTATATACACCATATACAGTTGGCAGTCTTCAGAGCTCCTCAGCTTCATCGCGTTTTCGTCATCAGTAGCAAAATTTCACAATGGGCTTGCGTTGGGCATCTCTTGTGTTTCTTTGGACGCACGCCTTAATGGGTTATGAACTCTTGGATTGCGTGTGCGCTTATCAGATCAGACTCGTGATTCAGGAGAGCATGAAAGTGACTTCGCTTGCTGCCGTGGCCTCATCTATGAAAGGATCACGGTGCTCACATACGATGAAGTAAGAATGTTGTTCATGCTCGTCCTGTGTATAGTGGTGGGTTTGTTTCGAGTGCCCTGCTTTTTGTTTGAGCAGCGTGCTTTAGGTGTCGAGCTGAGACAGTTGTTTCTTCGTGCTTTTCCTGCACATGCTCATTTTGTGTGTGCTTTCTGCATGAGGTGTGCACTGTAAGTTTCAAGTTGCTTGCCAATTTTTGCGTAAAAATGCAATTTGTTGCTGTAGCATTCATTTTTTCGCTGTTGTGGTGAAACAATGAAAAGAAATGCTGAACTACCTCAGTGAAGACACATTTCACTTTCATGTTATACCGATTCCCAAAAAGAGGGATCAGCTTTCTTTTTTTTTGCTGGCATAGGCTGTCAGCTTTCAAGCAAAGCTTGTTATGACTCACAGAGTTGTCATGCACGAAAAACCCAGTGCCAATGAGTGTTGTTATGCCTGCGAGTCCACAGCGGACGTCCGTGCCTCTGAAAAAGGCAATCTGTGTCAAGGCCAGCCTGCCTGACGCGAACAACTCAACGGCGTAAACACGCGCGGCGCCTTTCTGTCGCCCACGTGCAGTGAGTCAGTGCAGCCAGCGAGTCCGTCGAGTAAACAACCGGCGTCTTCCTGTCTGGGGGGGTGACGCAATGCGCGGCGACGTCACTCGTCCTTGGGTGCAGCCACCTGCAGCGCAGCCTCTCCAGGTTCGATGAGAAAGAAGGACGCGGCCCAGCGGCGCCCTCATTGGAGGATTCTGACCTCGCGACCAGTGGCGCTTCGGGTTGGACAATTGGGTTGGACCCGGGGCATATAAAAGAAGCCCTGCGGCGCGTCGAGAGAGACCCCTTTTTATAGCGGACCCATTTAAGAGCAGACCTATGTGTTAGAGAGGAGAGCTCGGCTCTTCGAGTCTCTGTCGGCCCCAGTGCCGAATTTGTAACGCCTCTGTATATATGCTGTACATAAACCTTGTTTAAACTCACCGTCGTCTCGTCCGCTCGTCTATCAGCTCTGCGCAGAAGCAGTCGCGAGCTGAGAAACCTACGCTACCAAACGGCTGGTGACCTTCCCGGCGGAGTTCGAAGCAGTGGCACCTTCGGGACCGTGTTGGCGTCGCCGTCTTTCGTAACCTGGTTGCAGCGGGGAGATTCGAGGCGCCCTTCGTAACGTCGTCGGAGGCGCGCTTCGAAACAGTGGTTGCAGCTTGCAGCGGTGAGATTCGTAGCGCCCTTCGTAACGTCGTCGGAGGTGCGCGTCGCAACAGTGGTGGCAGCTTCGCAACAGTGTACAAAAATGTGGCCCATATAGGTATGCTGGTCACTGACATAATTTTCCAATAACGAATGCTCTCTCTATCGTGGATGTGTCGACAATCAGCCATTTCTGGCACAGATCTTAAATCAAGTTTATTCCTTGTTGCTACATTTCATTGTCCTCTGAATAGAAATGCGTCACCATTGTTGTTTGTAAAAACTCAGATGTTTCACTGCTGAAGGTCCCATTCTCGACATAAATGAAGGACAGACGTTTGAGCATTTCAAATTGCTTCGGAAGTAGAACATTTATTGAAGCTATTTTATTTCAAGGAAGAAAGAAGGACAGCCAGACGAGAACTGTGCACATTGAAAACCGGCAATAACAAAATCTTGCAGTAACACAATTATCGCAAGAACAAAGCAAACTCTGGCCCGTCAAATGCCTATAATGTGTTTCACCTTTCTTGACTTGTAAATGCTGCTAATTAGCAATCCTGCAACAACGAAAATTGAGAGGGCATTGCTCCACATGTTTTCTGCTGGTGCGAGGTCGGCATGCTGCAAAATGTGCTCAAAAGTTCTAATCTAAGCTGCATTACATACCACTACATTGTTCTTGCACAAGTCCCACTATCTATGTGTGCCAAAAGCAGTAGATATTGTCTTTGCCACCATGTTGCCTACTTTGTCTCATTTTTCCTTAAGTGTGCATAGCCACATTAGAGTGCAGATGCAGTGTCGTTTGAATGATGGTGCAGCTACGGTAATAGTTCTCTGTTCATGAACGGCTGTTTGCGAACAGTTTTGTTTGCACACGTAAAGCTTGATTTTTCGTTCGATGTGGGACCCTTTCTGGTGATGCGGTGTGGCAGCCGCACAGAGATGTGGCCAATCAGTGACGGTGCATGTGAATCGGACAGTCCGAGACGTTTTGGGCCTTCCTTAAAACTCGTGATGCAGATGTTGAAAAATACAACTACCTGCATTGAGAAAGAATATCTCTGCATGGGAACACTCTACAAATTAACTCAACTCAAGCATCAACATCTCACCTTTTCCCAATTTGTGGCATCTTGGGCTACTTTGGCCCTTACAAAGCTGTGCACTGCCTCAGTGACGTGAATTACAAGGTGGTGCCCCAAAGCTCGGATATCTGTTTGAGCCAACTACATGACATGCCCATGCCAAGTTTGTCCATATACCGTATTTACTTGCGTAATCCTCGCACTCTCATAATTCTCGCTCCTCCCACATCGCCCAAGAAAAATACAATTTTTTTTCCTCGAGTAATTATCGCACCCCCGAAAACTGCCGCAATAATGTCGTCTGCTCGTTCCAGCCACTGATGATGATAGCGCACGCCATCTGGCGCCATCTCTTAAACATCAAGCGTACTATTGCACGGAGATTCGATCCAATCCAAGCCAAGCCGAAGTGGTCAGTGTGCGTTGCGGCGTGTTTTGTTTGTTGTGTGAGTAATCTTGGCAGGTTATGGGGCGATACTGAAGCTACACGGCTGCTTCAAGTTGCAAGTGATAGATCATGCACTAAACAACAGCAACAGGGCCGCCGGTAGGCCCTTCGGGGTCTACGAGTTTTGTGTTCGCTACTGGTGACGGCAGCTGAAAGCCACCAAGACGCGTTGGGCCTGCCATGTGCCTAAAACAGAGATTGATGGTAAACTTTATTTCTTCAGAAGGAAACTGCGGACGATTCTGTTAAATAGCCATCAGCCCAATACTGACGTCCTACGCTTACCTTTTGAGGGCTTCTGTTGAGCGACGAATGCTACCGCTACGCCCGCAACGCCAGCAAGCTTTGTGTGTAGTATTCTAATTCTCGACTGTTTGCTTCCACTTTTTGTGTCTCAAATAAATCTTGTTTTGTGTTGAACCTCTGTTTTTATTGTTGAGGTAAGTTCTAATTAGTACTTCTTAAAGCTTGCTGTAAGTTGCTAGTGTGAGAAACCCGATTTGCGGCCACTTCGATTTCTTTCTCGCTCTCTACGTTTCCGGCGAAAGTTTTCCCCGCGTAATTCTCGCACTCCCCCACTTTGCATCAGTTTTCCGGCAAAAAAAGTGCGAGGATTATGCGAGTAAATACGGTAGTACAAATGAAACCATATCATGCATACGTGTGATAATAGATACTTTAAACTCCTCTTCATTATGTGCAATGTTACGGTTGTTATTTTTCTTACTTCACACTGCCGTCTTTTTCCATAGCCATCTCTGGCACCTGAGTCAATCGACCGGGATGGTCGCTCCTGCCGGTGGAAATGAGGCGAGGTATGCTAGCAACTATAGTGGCCAGCCTCTTGAATAAAGACAATGAAGTTGTTTGCTGTGGTGTTAGCCATTTTGCACGGAGTTTTGTATCTTCATTCCTGTGTGTTGTAGCACCTATTTGCTAGCTCGGCGACAATATTATTTTACGATAACATTCTTGTTTTTATTTTTTAATATTTTCGAGGAAGCGCTCAGCAGGTCACATGACCGAGAAGTGGCGCCATGATGCAAAGCGATTTCTCTACCACTTGAGAAAACACGACGGGGAAGCTTCAGAAGACTTACATTTATTCACAAATCAAAGGACATCCATCATTAATTAAAGTAATCGGTGATGCATGTCTGCACACGTTTGCCTTGCAGCGAGTCAATCAATTTTGCACGCAGTTTGTAAAGCATAGTAGCGCGTGGTTAAGTCCAGCACCAATGCTTTCTAAAGATAACGGCAACGACTACGTCTCCACTGCTACCCTCTGCACCGAGAAAAGAGGAGCGTCTCCATGCGGAGAGAAGCAGATCGGCATGAGAGAGAGAGCCAACTCTCTGCATCAGATTTATTATTTTTTCCCCTCTCTCCGGGCGCGGCCTTGAAATAAGAAGGATCTCTGCATGCAAAGACGGAAAAGCGAGAAGTGTGACACAGGCGTGTTGCAGACCGACATTTGAGAGAGCAAACAATCCACCACAGTCTTTGCTTTCCTTTTATTCTTTTTCTTCTTTGGGCGCAGCATTGAGAGGTGCCACGACGGGATTGAGCGTGGTGCTGAGAACATTTTCGGAGCACGGTATGTTCGAATTAACCGTCGTAAGTGCTTGCGCGTTCGAATTACAGGGCGTTTTCGCCCATTGC